CGGATTATTTTCATAATCCTCTTTAAAGTTTCACCGTGAGTGTCAATCCTGGAATGTTCTCCCTGGCATTTTATCCATTTAAACAGGATCTGCTGCTGAAGTTTGTAGGACATTTGCATTTAAATGAGACTCTCTGGGCTGCCACGGAACCTCCACGGTGTCAAAACAGGTTCAGAGGTTTTTATTTTGTTGCACATTTCAAAAGATGCCCGGAGGCTGCGAATAAAATTTTTGGTGCACTCCTGATGCAGTAAATTTTCAATCCTGTGCTGCTCCTGCTATATTGGAATCCATAAATCACTGCCCCCAGTTATGTCACCATCACAGAGGTTCTTTTGTGCCCCTTTGGGGGGCTCTACATCACCCCTGACATCTGCAGCCTCCTGCAAACTTCGAGGAAAAACGAGGCTGAACTTGATTTTTAACTCCTGCAAGGCTGCTGAGTGCCCAGCCTGGGATTACTGCTTCCATTTTCATCATGCAGGGATTTGCTATGAACATTTATCTCCACTGGTTCAGATTCTGAGCTACACAGGCTCTTAATGAACCCACTAATTAGAGAGGCAAAGCAGGAGCAGCAGAACTGAGCCCCTGCAAATCACCACTCTAACAGAATCAGCTGGGAAACCACAGCTGGAAAATGAAAACTTGCATTCAACTGAAATTGAACTGAAAAATTATTTATAATTAAAAGAGAACAGATAATTCCAATTATTGATTCTTTCTCCAGGGGTAAATGATGACTTCTACCTCTAATACTCATTATCTTTCCCAGCAAAATTTTCTGCTTGGATATTTATGTTCCACATGACACAGAACAGATTTCACTTTGTATGTCAGGAACTTGCTCTTAGTGGCACAGCTTCCCAAAATGTTGTTTGTGAGTGTTTTGGGATGTGAACACACTGATTTCAACCAAACATCTGAGGAGGTAACAGGTGCTGGCCAACTCAAAGGCAGGCTGGATATTCTGGAATACAAAAATCCCACCAGGCACTGCCAAAATGAAACATATAATATATTCCTCTTGAGGAGCTCCCCCCTCCAAAATGTATCAGTAAAATCCACCCAAGAATTTTCATCAGCTTATTTTCTCTAAGCAAGAACACCAGTAATACTAAAATTACTGGGAGGATGGAAGTTAAGGGGAAGGATGTGCCACTATTTTGGTTTTACAGCCCTGGATGACTTTGGAACCTCGTTATTAAAAAATAAATTACAGCTGAATAATAAAGGTCATAAATAAATAATATAGGAATAATAAAAAGGCAACTGAGAGATTTCAGACTTAGTTGGGCTGAGTAAAAGCTACTAAACTCTAGGAAAATTTAAACATCTTGAATTTGCAATATGATGAAAATTAGTCTTTTGAAGCTGTAAGTCATAAAATACCACTAAAATAATTCTGTCCTGTTTTACAAATACCAACTGAGAGGAATCATTAAAAAAAAACAGAGACACATCCTTAAAGGCTTTAAAAATCACATTGAAACGCTCACACACAGCTGGCTGCTCCACTGCTCCCTGCCCTCATCATCCCACAAGTGTCTCATTAACCAGAGAAATCTGCTTTAAAACCAACAGCACGTGGATGAAGTGAATTCCTTTTTCCTTCCCCTGGATCTCAGTGGGATGTGCAGAGGGTCTCACAAAGCAGAGTGACAACACTGCAGGGGCTGAATTCAGCTTCCTGAAGGGTCCCTCTGGGAATGCCAAGATCCCTGAACCAGTGACATCTCCAAGGCTGAATCCCCTGGGACAGGGGAAGGTGTCTCTGCCCATGGCAGGCGTGGCACTGGACGGGCTCTCAGGTCCTTTCCCATCCAAAGAACTCCAGGATTCCCTGCCTGAGCTCATCCCTGATGGGAGCAGCACCTCTGGGAGAACACTGGATGGGCTTTGAGGTCCTTTCCTACACAAAGAACTCCAGGATTCCATGTCTGAGCCTGTCCCTGATGGCAGCAGCACCTCTGGGATAACACTGGATGGGCTCTCAGGTCCTTTCCCACCCAAAGCATTCCAGGATTCCCTGATGGCAGCAGCACCCCTGGGATAACAGATGTGAGGGGGCATTTGAAATGGGCCATCCAGGCACTCCAGGAGGAGCCTCCCCCCTCCTCTGGAATATTTCCCTCCCCAGGGCTGTCCCTGTGCCGGGGCTCACCTGCACGAAGGCCACGTGGCTGTGCTCCCGTGCCAGCGCTGCCATCACCTCGTTCATCTGCGCACACTGCGGAGCCCAGGGCGCCCAGAAGTGCACAACCACCAGGGACCTGGGGACAAACAGCACTGCTGGGAAAACGCCAACACCAGCGGCATCCTGGAGCCACAGAGCTTGGGAATGGCCCCAGCATCACCAGCCAGCTGCTCCCTGCCCACCTGAGCCCCGAGTGCCACCTCCAGGAATTCCTTGGGCACTCCGTAAAAACTCAGCCCCGCCGCCTTCCTGAGATAAAAAACCAAAAACCTTTAAAGCACAGCCAGGCCTTTCCTTTCCCAGGGAACATCCAGACAAATGATGCAGCACAAAACCCATGGAATGGTATTTTTCTGCTTTCATTAGCTCCAGCTTCCTATTCCAGGTTTTCTGGGATGTCTGGGATTGGGACACAGCTCTCAAAGGTGTGAGCAGAAATCCCACTGCACTGGGTACCAGCTCCCAGGGGCTAAAACACCTGGGATGACAACACTGACAAGATACTGGAATTTTCAGTTCCATTCTCTGTGTTTGTAGAGCTCAAACCCACCTGAGAATGGGAATAAGGAATTAAAGATACAGTGTATTAATATTAATTTACTTAGAAAACTTCTAAGCCACTTTATGCCTTTTATTCCTAAATAATGGAAGCTCACTGGAAATTGGAACAGCTGCACGGGAAGCACAAGATCCCTGCAATATATTCATTTTTATCTCCAGGAAGAACATATTTTAAATTAATTTGCACTATTTTGGAGATGTTTTGGGTTTTTTATTTCTATTTTTTTTTAATTCATTCACAGAACAATTCAAATTTTGCAATGGAACTGCTCTCTGAGCGCTTCAATTTCACCTTAAAAAAGCCAGAGTAACTGAAAACATTAAGAAAGATAAAAATAAAGACTTGGCAAAATGAAGCACTTAAGTGATTGTAAACAAAGAGCTCCTTGCATTCAACCAAGGTTAAAAAAAATAGATCCACTATTAAACAGGGCAAGGACAAAAAGGTTATGAAAAATCCCAAATTTTCTCTTTAAATGTCAACATTTACACTTATTCTACAACACAAACTTACTGATACCCCAATGCAAGAAACATTAATTTTCTGAAACAAGAAATCCTATGAAATTAACATGTAATTATAAAAGCTGTTTTCAAGGGAAGAAGAGGAAGAGTTATCAGAATTATCAACTCATCTTGGCTCCAAGAACATGGATAAAATAAAAGAATCAATTCCTTTAGACAGAAAACTGATTGATGTTCTGTGACAGAGGCAATGAGAAAGTTACTGGTGGGGTTTTTTAAATAACCTTAAAATCCTGTGTTTGCTCCTGAAGCCGTTTTCATTTGGACACTTGAGTTTCTTCTGTGATGTCCCTACAAAATAATCCAGCTGAAGGACAGCTCCAGGAGGGGAAGTTTGGGAGGAATTCCATTCCTTTTTCCTGGAACCATCATTTAACTGCATTTCCTGCTGCTGTCTGCAAGAACTGATGCTGGCACTGCACCACACTTTTAATCACCTGTAAATCTCTAATTACAGAGGTGATTAATGCAGCTCTTCCCTCCCTAAGTTAAACATGTGCATGGAACACTGGAATAAAAGCACTGGGATTGTTCCAGGACAGGATGGACGGGGCTGGGACATGGAAAGTGCCCCTGGGTGGGCGTTCAGCTCCCAAACCAGGCTGTGACTGGAGGAAAAGCAAAGCCCTGTCATTAATCATTAGATACAAAAGCAGATTAATGAGAACCCTAAGCAGGAGATGAATAATTCAGAGTCACTTCTGTGTCAGTAACACCCAAACGCTGCTGTTCCCATTGAAATGTCACTGTTGTTCCCATTGAAATGTCACTGTTGTTCCCATTGAAATGTCACTGTTGTTCCCATTGAAATGTCACTGTTGTTCCCATTGAAATGTCACTGTTGTTCCCATTGAAATGTCATTGCTGTTCCCACTGAAATGTCCTGGTGGTTTTGCTGACACTTCCACGGCTGCAGGACAATTCCAGCTCGCAGGGCAGCTCAGGTTTGTACCATTTTCCAGCCAATTCGCCCAATTTGGCCCCAAATTCCCTGCGGCAGGAGCTGCTGCAGGGCGGCACCTCCGGCTGCTGAGCCAGGGGAACGCGGGGCTGCCAAACCCCGAGCCCAGGCCGGGCCTAAACCGAGCCCAGGCCGGGCCTAAACCGAGCCCAAACAGAGCCCAAACCCCGAGCCCAGGCCGAGCCCAAACCGAGCCCAGGCCGGACCCAAACCGAGCCCAGGCCGGGCCCAAACCGAGCCCAAACCGAGCTCAAACCCCGAGCCCAGGCCAGGCCCAAACCGAGCCCAGGCCGGGCCCTTGCGCAGTTTGGGGCTCGCTGTGTCTCGGTTTTGGGGTTTTTCATCTCCCCCGCGGAGGTTTCACCGAGCGCTGTGGCAGCACCGGCCCCTCCCGAGCTGGGAGACCCGGGAGGGGACACTGGGAGCGGACACCGGGATGGCACCGAGGGACGGGACACCGGGAAGGGCCAAAGGAACGGGGCCTCCCCCGCTGTCCCCTCACCTGTCCGGGCGCTGCAGCAGCTGCTGGAACTGCTCGGCGGAGCCCGCGGCCGCCACCGCGCCCGCCATGGCCGGGCTGAGGGAGGGACACGTGGTGTCACCCGCCGGTCACGTGGTGTCACCCGCCGGTCACGTGCGTCCGCCCGGTCGCGCGCTTCCGCCCGAGTCACGTGTCCTCCCTGTATCACGTGTTCTCCCTGAATCACGTGTGAGTCCCTTATCACGTGTGTGTCCCCCGTGTCACGTGTCCCGGGTGCTCCCGGTGTCCCTCAGCCCGGCCCGGAGCGCTCCTGAGGAGCCTCCGGGATGTGCCGGTGTAAAATCCTGCTAAAAGCGGCGGCTCCGGGATGTTCCGGGTCTCTCGGTGGGCCAGCCGGATTTCAGGCGGATTTAGGCGGCGGGATGAGCTCCAAGGGATGTCCCGCTCTTGGAATGGCAGCGGTGGAATTGCCTGGTTCGCGTTCGGGGCTGGACAGCGGTCCCAGGCCAAGGGGAGGATAACGCGATTTGAGGATTCCCACCGATACAGGGAATACAGAATTTGCCGGCCCCGAGGACATTTGGCAGAAGGGCCAAGATAAGGAAGAAGCCGATAAAAACAGCTGGCCAGCTGTGCTGGATCCCTGGGAAAGGAGGGGATTCCAGGGGGAGCCGGTGGCCAGCAGCGAGCCGAGAAACCCCGAAAGCAGCGGAACACCGGGAATCGGTGCGAGAAGCTGGAGAAGCATTAACATGGAACGCTAATTAATTAGGGGATGTGGAATGTCAGCAAGTGAACCTTTGTGCCTTTGTTTGATGACATTATAAACAGTGACAGGTTTTGGGAATTGTGTGCTGGCTTGGGGGATCAGCCCAGGCCCTTTTTGTGCAGAGCTGGGAATAAATCCCAAAACTCTGTGTGGGGATCGGGTTCTTCCACACCACAGGGGGAAAAACCCACTTGGGATAACACTGCCAGGGATCCAACTCTGGGAATTCCATCCCAGGCCTTCAGCACCCTCCCAGGGAACAATTCCTGCCCGATATCCCATCGAAATCTCCCCACTTTCACCTTAAATCCACTCCCTGTGTCCTGTCCCTGCATCTCCTCAGTGTCACCGCTCCCAGTGCAGCCACTGCTCCCTGCACTCGGAGCCCTCTGCAACACCAGGCTGCTGCTCAGGGTGACAAATTCCCATTTTCCTTTGTGTTTGCCAGGATATTCCATGGGAAAGAGCCCGGCATGTTGTCAAGGTGAAATGAGATTCTCAGCCTGGAGCTCGCCGCCCATAAATCTGGGAGCAGGATTACCCCAGCGATGGGAATTGCAGCGTGGATAAGAGCAGTGAATATTTATTTTGGTCTGTCAAATAATCCTCCTGATGCAGAAAGAGACAAAAATTAATCCAAACCACTCTGATCTCTGTGCTGTTAAAAAAGATGGGCATGAAACAGCCTGAAATGTCACTGTTTGGATAAATTCCATGTAAAATTTTTGACACGTGAATCAACAATATTTTATCTGAATTCTCAAAAAAGCAAATTAATGCAAAATAAACTATTAATATCTGTTTATTGTCTTTTCCTATAGACTAAAATACTTTTGAAGAAAACAAAAAAAAAAGTACTTAAAACTACATATTTTCCATAAATACATTCTAGCTGATACAAACCGTGTGAGTGGAGGAAAGAAAGCCTAATTCTTTATTTAATATTAATTAATATTTAATTATTTTAATGTCATTAATTAATTAAATTAATATTTAATTAGTATTTAATATTAACATTAATATATCATTCATATAATATGTTATTAATATTATTATATTATATTGTATTTATATTGTATTTATATTATATTATATTATATTATATTATATTAATATTTAAGTAATATTAATTTATCCCCTGTTTTGCCGAGTTTCAGAGCTTTTAAAATTTATTGTCCCTCTCTCACAATGCAAGGAAAAAATGTGGGGTTTTCCCCCCATAAAATATTTGTTTTGATAAATAATAATTTTAATAATAATAATAAATTTTATTAATAATAATAATAAAATAATAATAATAAATAATTTCATTTAAATCCTGAATTCTTGTGTTACCAATAGGCTTGCCCAATTTTATTTTAGATTCCAGCTCATATCAAATAAAATCCCACATGGAATAACAGGGAAAACAGGCTGGACACGTAGCTGTGCCATTAGTGAGGTTAAATCAGGGAATTCCACAAACAAAACAATTTTCCAAGGGGAAATCCTTTTTCCTTTGAAGTTCCAATTTTCCAAGGGGAAATCCTTTTGCCTTTGGAATTCCAGTTTTCCAGTGGGAATTCCTTTTGCCTTTGGAGTTCCAGTTTTCCAAGAGGAAATCCTTTTGCCTTTGGAGTTCCAATTTTCCAAGGGGAAATCCTTTTTCCTTTGGAATTCCAGTTTTCCAGTGGGAAATCCTTTTGCCTTTGGAGTTCCAGTTTTCCAAGAGGAAATCCTTTTGCCTTTGGAGTTCTCTACCAAACACAATTTTGCTGTGGACGTATTGCAGCCAGGTTTCCGTGGAAAAGGCTGGAATTCCAGTCCCGTTCCTGATGAGCTCTGACAAACAGAGGTGAATTTGGGCTCTGAAGGAATTCAGCAGAGGGAATCCCAAGGCTCTGGCTCCAGACATTATGGGATGGAGGCCAAGGCTCCTGGAATGAGGCGTGGGACAGATGGAACCCCTGGAAATAAATCTCTTCCTCCGTGGCCGACGCCAACCCCATCCCTGCCCTGTAAATCAAACCCTCAGCCTTGAGAGAGCTCCCCGAGACCTTTTCCAGGTTCCTTGGGAAGGGAGAGCCGAGGATTGCTGCTCCAAATGGATAGGCCCACGGAGACAGGGAAGAGCTAAATCTCGCTCCCCTCCGGCTGTATTTCTGGGATCCCATATGGAGCCTTGGCAGGAGCGTCCCAGGGAAGCGTCAAGGACTCGGGCTGGGACAGGCAGGGCACAAACCAACCTGGCAAGTGCCGAGTGATGCCCTGCAGCTCCCAGGAAATGGATGTGGAGCCCAAATCTGGGTGAAAACCCCCGAGGGAAGAGGTTTGGCTGCTCCCAAATCCCACAGCGCTTTTGCAGCGGCTTTCCCAAAGAATCCTGTGCTGCCTGTACATGTGCTAATTCCCACATTTTAGTGCCCTGCTGGAGGAGTGCCAGCAGCTTCCCTATGGACACAGGGTTAGCCTGACACGTTCCAGCTGGGAATTCCCTGAAATATTGATGTTTTAACCTAATTCCCCTTCTAGCCAGTCCCTGATCCCACAATTTCTTGCATGGCAGAAAAGTTCCTGGTGCTTAATTCCGTTATTATTATAGACAAAGGCATAACAGGAAAGAGACTGGAATTCCACTTGGAAGTAGCTGGAACTTGCCAAGTATTTGGGATATATCCACACTCTGTTTTGATCCAGAAATAGGATTTATTGCAGTGTAAAATAAAAAATAGCAACTTCAGAATACACCCAGCAACCTTTTTCTTATGTGGCTACATCCTTTCTTATTTCAGTATTATTATTATTCTGATATTGAAATAGAATTGATATTAAATGAAGAAATTAAGAAACAAAATGAAGAAATGAAATGAAATTTTAAAACATTTACTGAAGAACACTGGGAAAAGGCTCTGGCAGGTCACCAGTTTTCCTGGTCAGATGTCACAGAGATGGAGAGATGGAGGGATGGAGGGATGGAGGGACAGGACCCCGGGAATGGCTTTAAGGTGAAAGTGGGTAGATTTCGATGGGATTTTGGGCAGGAATTGTTCCTGGATCCCTGGCAGTGCCCAGGGGCTGGATGGGTTTTGGGGGAACGTTCCGTGGTGCCGATGGACCCGGAGCGCCGGGACCCACCCGGGCCATGCCCGAACCGGGCCCGCAGCCCCGGCGGATCCCGGGGAGGATCCCGGTGTCGAGGGTGGATCCAGAGGGAGGGTCCGGGGGAGGATCCCGGTTCCAGGGGCGGTTCTGGGGCGGATCCCGGTTCCGGGGGTGGATCCAGAGGGAGGGTCCAGGGGAAGATCCCGGTTCCGGGGGTGGATCCAGGGGCGGTTCCAGGGGCGCACCCCGGTGCCGCGTTCCAGGGACTGTCCCGGGCCGGTTCCGGGGCGGATCCCGGTTCCATGGGTGGATCCAGGGGCGGATCCCAGGACGGTTCCTGGGCGGATCCCGATTCCAGGGGCGGTTCCAGGGGCGGATCCCGGTTCCAGGGGCGGTTCCAGGACCGGTTCCGGGGCGGTGCCGGGGCGGTGCCGGTTCCAGGGCCGGTTCCGGGGCGGTGCCGGTTCCGGGGCGGTGCCGGTTCCAGGGCCGGTTCCGGGGCGGTGCCGGTTCCGGGGCGGTGCCGGTTCCGGGGCAGTGCCGGTGCTGCCATGGCCGCGGTGCCGCTGCGGGGCCGGCGCGGGGCGCTCGGGCCGGGGGGAACCGGGGAGCCGGAATGTGTGAGTCTGCACCGGGAATGGGACCGGGAATGGGACCGGGAATGGGAATCGGGAATCGGGAATCGGGACTGGGATTCGGGAATGGGACCGGGAATGGGGACCGGGACCCGGCTCCCCTCGCCGCCCGGGCCGTGTCGCGGCTGGTGCCGGTTCGGGGACGGAGCTCAACAGGCTTTGGGGGTTTTCTCTTTTTTTCTGTTTTCCATCTTTTCTTTTTCCACGTGTTCTCTTCCCCGTTTTCTTTTCCTCTTTTTCGTTTTCTTTTCTTTTTTTTTTTTAATGTCTAAATTCCTTTTTTCCTTTTGAATTTTTTGTTTTTCCCTTTTTTCTTTCTTCCTTTTCCTTTATTCCTTTTTAATTACTCTTTCCCTTTTTTCTTTCCCTTTTTTTCTTTTCACCTGTTTTCCCCTTCTTTCCTTTCCCATTTTTCTTTTTCCTTTTCCCCCCTTTGTTTTTCTTTTCCCTTTTTTCTTCCCCCCTTTTTTTTTTTCTTTTCATTTTTTGTTCCTTTTTTTCTTTTTCCTTTTTTTAATTTTTCTTTCTTTCTGGCTGAAACCCTCTTTACCAGGCAGCCTCACTAATTCCATCTATATCTGCTCTTCTGGCTCCAAGATGACAGAGAGGAATCAGAATCCCAGCCTGGTTTGGGTTGGAAGGTTGGATTTTAAGGCTTTTGGACTTAGAGGAGTATCAGATTTTCAAGGCCAGAGCTCCCAGTGTGGTTTGGACTGATCTTCAGGTAGAGTTTCCCAGGTGGATCTGCGTGGATCTCACATTCCCTCTGCTTTCCCAAACAGAGCCATCTTTCCATAGGGAGAAAAGCAAGGAGCATCTCCAGAGGGCCATCATTCCACAGGGAATCCAGTGGGGCTGATCCAAGGAGAGCTGGGCTCTGTGGAGACCTGTGGGGCAGCCTGGCTTTAAAAACGGGCTCAAAAAGCAGAAATTGCATGACAAGAACATTTAAACCTCGGAGGAAATCTTTAAAATTGTACCCAAAATAGCCCAACAAACGAGCAGAACTTTTCCTACAGCTTCAGGTTGGGTGTCCAGTGGAGCTGGGTTTGGCACCAGCTTGGTGTCATCCCTGAGCTCTTTATTTCCCAGCTGGACAGGAAAGTGAGAGGCTTCCCTGCAGAGAGATCTGCTCCCTGCCTGCTGCTTTTCCCCTGCTGATCCCCCTGAGCTGCTGGAGCAGATCATTCCCTAAGAGGAGCAGAGCCTTGGATGCAATCCCTGCCTGCCTTTGGAACAGGGAGCTCGGTGATCCCATCACAGGCTCCCTGCATCCTGCACAGGCAGCGTGGATGCAGAGATTCCTTCTTCCCTGAGAGAGAATTCCAGAGCCTGGGGTTTTCCCTGGAGCAGAAAGCATCCCCAGGGTGGCATTGGTGTGAAGAGTTTCACTGAATTCCTGACACCAAGCAGTGTCCCCCAGAACGATACCTGGAGTTTATTTTTAATTTTATTTTTAACCAAATTCCTTCTGGTGTGTGGCATTGAGTCATTTTCCCCTCTTCCCTCTCATTTCACACATATTCCCAGTTTTCTGCTGCACTTTGCCTTTCCCTGCAATGAAGGAGGAGTTCTCCAGCAGCAGAGGACATTTTCCCAGTGGGAGGCAATCTCAGGGGTCTGGAGGATCTCCCCAGACTTTTATTCCATTATTCCTTTCTTACCACAGTGCACATTTCACTTTTGGATTCCCTTCCCACCCCGATATCCTGCCTCCCTTCCTGGTGATCCCATCCCAGCTGTTTCTCCCTGAGGTTCCTGGTGCATTGATCCATTTTTGGTTTCTCCTAACTTATCCCAAGTTTAAATTTCATTTCCGTGCTTCAGTAGTCTGTTCTGTGCCAGCCCATCTTCCTGGGAAATCACATGCTGGAGAAAGAGAAGGAATCTTGGGATTCCTTAAGCAAAGTTTGTTTGGCAAAAATATCCCAGGTGTGTGAGTGTCTCTTAGGAATTCAGGCTGTAAATCTGTGTCAGGTTTGTAATGCCCATGGTTGTGTTATCCCAAGGAACCCTGGGATTTGGGACAGCCTCCCTTTCCATGGGCAGTCACAGGCCAGGGATTTTCTGAAGGTTTCCAGTTGGTTTTCCCTGGATTCACAGCTCAGCCTCCCCAGTTCCCAGGGCAGTATTTTTGGGAAGCGCTGCTCCTGTGAGGGCTCGCTCAGCCCTCGGGTTCCCGGGACATCCCTGGCTCAGGAAGGACAGCTTTAATTAAACAATTCTCCTGGGTTAATGACTCCTTGCACACAGCTCCCCTGCTCCCCTGCTGAAGCCCATCCCATCCCTGCTGGAATGCAGGCTGAGGGATGCCTTTTCCCAGCGGGATTTTGTGGAAGGAGGCACAGAGAGGTGGGAGATGCAGAATTCCTGCTCTCAGCACCAGGGGCAGTGGGAAATCCAAAACCTTGGGGTTGTGGCCCGATGCCTCATGGCCCATCATCAACCTGGTGTTGTTCCCAGTGGATGTGGCATCCTTGGGAAGCAGGAAAATCCCCAGGACTGGGGTCCTGTGCCTTGCACTGAGATGTAAATATTGCTCTTGGATGTTCCAGAAGCGAGTGTGCAGACTGCTGGACACCATCCCACGGGAGGCTGCTGCCCAGCTCATGGACTGTGCCATGGATCTGGATTCCAGGCACAAATTCCTCCCTGGCTCTGCTCCCTGGGCTGCAAAGACAAAGCAGAATTCCACAGTAAGTTCCCACTGTCCGTGTGTTTGCTACAAAATCACCTTACAAATGCATTTTATAATAATATATTAAATATTATATATATTATATATTATACTATGTTATTATATTATATTATATTATATTTATTGTATTATATTGTATTATATTGCATTATATTGCATTATATTATATTGCATTACATTGCAATATAATATAATGCAATATTATATTATATTATATTATATTATTATTATAATAATGTAATATAATAATAATATAATATAATAATATGATTATATAATATTATTATATTATATTATATTATATTATATTATATTATATTATATTATATTATATTATATTATATTATATTATATTATATTATATTATATTATATTATATTATATTATATTATATTATATTATATTATATTATATTATATTATTATTATATTATTATAATATTATTTATCATTATATTATATTATTGTATTATTATATTATATATATTGTTATATTATATAATATTATATTATAATAATATTATATATTATATTATATTATATTGCATTATATTATATTATATTATATTATACTATACTATATTATATTATATTATTATATTTTATATCATATTATATATAATATAATACATTGCATTATTTTAGATTTCATTATATTACATTACATTGCATAATTTTACATTATATTATATTACATTATATTACATTATATTACATTATTTTACATTACATATATTACATTACACTATATATAAAAATATATGCAATAATATATATTATATAAAATACATTTTTTAATAATTGTAAATAATTGCCTTTTTTTCTTTTCTTCTTCTTTTTTGTTATAATTTTATGATGAATTTGTGTCTGGTTTTGTTCCTCAGATTTTGGAAAATCATGGGAACAGAGGCATTTCCCAGCCCTGCCCGAGATGTGTTGCTGGAGAATCTGTAAGTGTGGGAATCTGCTTTTTGGGACTAAAAAAGGCTGGGAATTGTTCCCCAGAATTAAAACCATAAAACATGAAGTTATCAACCTCCACAAGTGCGCTGCTCAGGAATAAAGGCTGGAAATTAAAAGTAAAGGAGATGGATTTAGCATTTCAGCAGAGCACAAATTAATATTCCCAGCAGCAGCTGGAGAATCTGGAGATGCTCAACACATTTTTCAAATTCTCTCTGAAAAAGCAGAATTTGGGAAGTAAATAAACAAGAAAATAAACAAGAAAATAAGAAAATTAACAAGAAAATAAACAAGAAAATAAACAAGTAAATAAACAAGAAAATAAGAAAAGAAACAAGAAAATAATAAACAAGAAAATAATCAAGTAAATAAACAAGAAAATAAACAAGAAAATGAAAAAATAAACAAGTAAACAAAGTAAATAAAGAAGAAGAAGAAAGAAACAATGACATAACATTTCCTCTACCCCAATTTTAGTTGTCCTTTATTTACTGGATCATAACTAAATATTCAGGAAAGTCATTCTATCTCCTTTTTTTTTTTTCTGTAATTGGATATTTCCTTTCTAAGGAATAACTACAGCTTGAAAATATTGCTCCTTCCAGAGCCAAAATGAGGGGAGGTGTGAGGAAATGCTGGATGTTCATTGCAAAATCCGATTTATGGAATTTAAGGCAAAGTTTCCATCAGGAAAAACAGAATTGATTCATTTATTTCTGCTCATATTTAAAATTAAAATAGAAAGCAGACCCAGGGCAGGCTGTGGGAATATGGAAACCACTCTCTGGGGTTTTCCAGTTGGAATTTTCCACACATTTCTTCTGCACAACATCTCAGGGATTCAGAGCCAAAGAAAAAGAAGGAATATTTGGGGATTAAACCCCAAATTGACACCTCTCATGCCAGAATTACAGGGACAGCAGAGTTGGAAAATTCTGCTGTGTTAGTGCCCACTTCATTTGGAATTATTGAGACTGAATACAAATCTCACTGTTAATAATATTAATATTAATATTAATAATAAAGATTATAATAAAGATAAGGTAATAACGATAATAATGATAAAGATAAAGATAATAACAATAATAATAATAAAGATAATAATAAAGATAAAAATAATAACTATAATAATAATAAAGATAAATATAATAACAATAATAATAATAATAATAGTAATGGATTTTTTTAACTCTGGCCTGTTGAAGAACTTGGGATAAAAACTGGAGGAGGTAACACTGACCTTTTCCAGAACATTGATCTGTGGAGTTTGGGGCTGTCTGGGACCTGTTTTATTCACTTTGAAATGTTTTCCTGTGGCAGCTGTAAGGAACAAGGAAAACAAGTGGAACATCAAAATTAAAGATTTGCACTTTGAGTGCTCTGTGCTTTCAGTTTAAAAACTCAGGGTAGGACCACAAAAATCTGGAGCCCTTGCAGAGCTTCAACCTTAAATTTTTCCTTAATTAATTTCGTATTATGGAGTTGAAATTTTAAAATAAAACAAATACTTGCAAAATAAATAAATAAAAAATTTCAACATTTTTTTAAAAATAAATAAAATAAAAACAAAAACTTGGAAATGAAGACTGAAACTCCTTAGCAGTGACCTGAAATGTTGTCATTGCAGGGCCACTTCAGTCACATCCTGGGCTTCTAGGAACGGAGCTGGGGCAGAGGAGCAGCCCTGAATTCCTGCTGGGACCCTGAGGATGCAGCTGGATCCTGCATCCTGCCCTGGGGACACTCAGGGCTCCTTTAGCTGATATTTTACACCTGCTGAAAACGCTGCTGCTCCTCAGGAAGCTCAGAATTGTCTAAAAAAGACAAAAAAAAGGCTGATTTCATGTTCAGGTAGCTCAGAATTGTCCAAAAAGGACAAAAAAAGGCTGATTTCATGTTCAGGTAGCTCAGAATTGTCCAAAAAGGAACAAAAAAAGCCTGATTTCATGTTCAGGTAGCTCAGATTTTGTTTAAAAAAGAACAAAAAAAGGCTGATTTCATGTTTAGATAGCTCAGAATTGTCTAAAAAGGACAAAAAATGCTGATTTCATGTTTAGATAGCTCAGAATTGTCTAAAAAGGACAAAAAAAGGCTGATTTTGTGTTTAGATAGCTCAGAATTTGTCTAAAAAGGAACAAAAAAATGCTGATTTCATGTTTAGGTAGCTCAGATTTTGTCCAAAAAGAAACAAAAAAAGGCTGATTTCATGTTTAGGTAGCTCAGATTTTGTCCAAAAAGAAACAAAAAAAGGCTGATTTCATGTTTAGGTAGCTCAGAATTGTCCAAAAAGGAGCAAAAAAAGGCTGATTTCATGTTTAGGTAGCTCAGATTTTTCAAAAAGGAACAAAAAAAGGCTGATTTCATGTTTAGGTAGCTCAGAATTGTCTAAAAAGAAACAAAAAAAGGCTGATTTCATGTTTAGGTAGCTCAGATTTTGTTTAAAAAAGAACAAAAAAGGCTGATTTCATGTTTAGGTAGCTCAGAATTGTCTAAAAAAAAACAAAAAAAGGCTGATTTCATGTTTAGGTAGCTCAGATTTTGTTTAAAAAAGAACAAAAAAAGGCTGATTTCATGTTTAGGTAGCTCAGAATTGTCTAAAAAGGACAAAAAAGCCTGATTTCGTGTTTAGGTAGCTCAGAATTGTCTAAAAAGAACAAAAAATGCTGATTTCATGTTTAGGTAGCTCAGATTTTGTTTAAAAAAGAACAAAAAAAGGCTGATTTCATGTTTAGGTAGCTCAGAATTAATTTAAAAAGGAACAAAAAAAGGCTGATTTCATGTTTAGGTAGCTCAGAATTGTCTAAAAAGAAACAAAAAAAGGCTGATTTCATGTTTAGGTAGTTCAGATTTTGTTTAAAAAGAAACAAAAAAAGGCTGATTTCATGTTTTGGACTGGTTAAGTTGAGCTGGCCTTGGGCCCAGGCTTCACCTGGGGCTGGGCCAGAGGCTGTTTTGATTCCAAAGGTTTTCCCAACAGTCCTGGATCCCTTGGAAAATGCTCCTTTGGAAAACCCTCCTTGTGCAGGGCCACAGGCAGGAATGGGAGGACACAAATTTTAGTTTTTAAGTGGCTTTGCAGCTGTGAAATCCAGGAAAAATCCCATTGAAGCTTACATTTAAATTCCAAAAAAAATCTGTTTAAAAAGGCTTGACCTCATCATCCAGCAGGCTTTTACTGGCACTAATTTAATGACAGGTTAATTAACCTCTGAAAGGTGAATTTTGGGGGTTATCAGGCTGCAGAATCCTCAGGCAAAGGTTTTTTTGCAGTCCTTGAATCCTTCCCACGTTGTGTGTGCAGCTGGAGCTGGCACTGGGTTGTGTTCTTAAGGAGATATTCTCATTAAATAAAGGAATATCGCATAAATACTGAATTTAATTAAATAACACATAAGGAAATTAGTCCAATCTGCACTTAATTGGCATTCAGGTTTTGGTTAAAATAAATAAGGTTCCTCCAAGCCAATAAAAATTTTAGTTAAATTAAGAATAAATATTTTGAAGTTAGTATTTACGTACTTGAGACCAAGATCTGGTGGGTCAGAATTTGTGGGGAATTCATTTTTACATCCCTGTTTTACCTTACATTTTTACAATGTAAAATTTACATTTTTACATTTAACCTTTGGCTTTTAATTTTTTTTTTTTCCTTTAACTTTTTAAAATCAAAGCAGTATTTAAAAGAAAAGGTGGATAAACAGCAGTTTCTCTGCTGCAAAAGCTGAAATATCTGATTAAATGTGAAGTGCTAAATGGGTTTAGTTCCTGAAAAATCACTCAGAACCTCAAATGTGACGAGTAACAATTAGGACTGGTCAAAATTTGGTCAAATATAGTCAAAATTTGGTCAAATATAGTCAAAATTTCAGGTTTTCAGAGAGGGGAATCCCAAAAGTGGCCTCAGATTCTGTGACAGGAGAGTTTTCTGCCAGAATTCATCCGGCCAAAGTGTGGGATCAAGCTGAGAACACAGGGAATAGCTGGATTGTCAGACCAAAGAAGTGTTTTTTCCTTAAATAACTCCAGTTTTATCGTGTTCAGGGGTTCACAGATACCTGTGCCAATATTTCCTCTGCTTTAAACTTGAATCTGCTCCGCACTGGGGTCAAGCCAAGAGCCAGCTGCTTCCTTCCTGCTTTTCCTTCTGCTCCTGCTGGGGTTTGTGCCACGTTCTTTTAAATCCTCCTGCTTTTACAGCATTTTTTAGAAGATGTGGGGGTGAATCCCAGGGCTGGTCCCAGCTGCTGGGGGGATTTTAATGGGATTTTTGGGATCACTTTTCCCACCGGCGCTGGGCACGGGGCAGGGGATTCCTGAGCTCTGGGTCCTGCCTTTGGCTCTGCAGGTGAGCAGGGACATCCTCCAGCTGGCCCAAATGCCTCCTGCAGGTGGGATGGCTGGATTTGGGAATTCCTAAAGATGTTTTCCAGACACTGGCCCTGAGAGGGGTGATCCCAAGCAGGGTTCTCTCCCGGGAACACAGGGGAAAGCAGAGCAAGCCTATGCTGAAATTTGAATTTATGAAATCTGTTCTCCTACTAATCCCATCTGTGTTGGGAAGGAGCTGCAAAAATGGGATCAGCCAGTGGAAAGGGAACTGCCCTCATCTCCAGCTATCCCAATCACCTCTTCCTTGCAGAATTCCAGCCTGCTTTGGGCTGGAAAGAACCTTAAAGCTGTTCCAGCAGTTCCACCTGGGGCACCTTCCCCTGTCCCAGCTGCTCCAGCCCCAGTGTCCAGCCCGGCCCTGGGCACTGCCAGGGATCCAGGGGCTGCTCTGGGCACCTGTGCCAGGCTCTGCCCACCCTGCACCTGCAGAAATTCACATTTCAGCTCCGTTCTGTGGGAATCAGCCCTGGGTGGAACCCCTGGAGCTGCTCCCTGCATTCACATCCAGCTGTTCCCACGGCTGCCCTGACTCTCCAGCTGAATAAAACCACATTTAACTCTCACAGACACCTCATTACCCCCCAGTTTTGTCCCAAATGGGAAGGCAGACGCTCCTGGATAAATTCCAAAGCCAACTTTTCCTCGTGGATGTGATTCCTTGCTCCGTGTTTTCCAGCAGGGCATGGAGTGCTTTTTTCAAACCAGTCAGGCTGGAAACAAATTGGGGTTTAATTGTCTGCTCCACTGAAGGCTTTTAATGGTGATATTTTTTTAAATAGATGGGTTTGTAATTTATTTTGGGATTTTCCAGGATCATAAAGCTGGCACAGGCTGGGGCAGTGAATATTCCTTTAAAGCAGATTTGTGTCAAATCTGCAGTGGAACCACAGAGCTATTTTTCTATGCCTTGTAGAACTCTGAAATTTTGTTTTCTTGATGAAAAAATACAGAAACTTTCTATTTCCTACTGCTGTGGTTTGTACACAGAATAACCAGAGTGATGCTTTATTTACCTGTACATAGAGAGAAAGGCCCCTGGCCTGTTTTTAATTCAGGTTTAAAGGATCTAATTCTTATTTTTAACTTTGTGTTTTGTAAATTGTTCCTTACAAAAGCAGAAGCATTAAACAGCACTTTGGCTGCAGCACGGAATTGTCTGGTTGTGTTATTCCAGGGGTGATTTCTGAGGATGCTGAGGAATAAAGGTAAATAAAACCTCTGATGAGGAGAAGAAATACATTATTTCTGTCATGTAAAATCTTTGTAGCAGGTTTAGTTGCTCACTTCATTTATTTGATGGTAATTACAAGTCCACTTGGCATCTTGACTGCCAAAAAAAGGTGGAAAATCAAAATATTGGGGTAAGTGGGGTTTAAAGACAACCTGGATTCTGACAAGCCAAGACTTACTTGTTGCAATGGCTACACTTAATATATTTAAATTTATTTTTGTTTATTTTAAATATTATGATTTATTGAATAGATTTTAAATCCGTGGTGTTTATGTCTAAATTAGCTGCTTAAAGCCTCTGCAGCTCTCCTGGGAGCGTGGTGTGATACCCTGTGTTAGCAGACTTGTAGGCACACATAAATAACTCTGTGTTTGCCCTGACTGCTGCAGATAATTCCCAAATTAACGCTCACACCGGGCATTTTCCACATCAAACTCTGTGTGGCCACTGGGCTGGGGATGGAGCTTTGGGCAAAGTGACTTTTCCTGGGAATTCAGAGTTTGTTCCCTCTCTCCCACATTTCCCAGTGGTGACAAGTGGCTTGGCCAGGCCTCCAGCAGCTCCCCCTGCCCTGGGGACATCAGCACTCCAAACCAGCAGTGATCACAGTGCTTAAAAACAGAAAAATAAAGAACCCCAGGAAGGTGCAACAGGATCACAGAATTGTTTAGGTTGGAAAAGGCTCTCAGACCATCGAGCCCAGCCCATCCCAGCGCTGCCCAGGCCACCCCTGCCCATGTCCCCAAGTGCCACAGGGCTGGGAATGCCGCCAGGGATGGGCACTCCTGCCCTCCCAGGGCTGACAGCCCTTTTTGGGAGGGAATTTTCCCAATATCCACCCTGAGCCTGCCCCTGAGGCTGTTTCTTGTCGCAGAATTCCAGAATGGTTTGGGCTGGAAGGACCCTAAAGCCTGTTCAGTGCCGTGGGCAGGGACCTTCCCCTGTCCCAGGCTGCTCCAGCCTGGCATTGGGCACTGCCAGGGATCCAGGGGCAGCCCCAGCTGCTCTGGGAATTCCATCCCAGCCCCTCCCCATCCTCACAGCCAGGAATTCCTGCCCCAAATCCTATCCAGCCCTGCCCCCTGGCACTGGGAGCCATTCCCTGTGTCCTGTCCCTCCATCCCTTGTCCCCAGTCCCTCTCCAGCCTCCTCCCAAGCCTGGAGCTCACAGAATCCTCAGGCAAAGGTTTTTTGCAGTCCGTGCTTGGCTCTGATGTTCCAAACTCTGCTCCTGACCCTGCCTTGCCAACCCCAGCTCCTCCCCTGGTTCCCAGGACGTGGGATCAGCACATCTTCCATCCATCCCTGGGGAATCCTCCATCCATCCCTGGGCTTCCTCCATCCGTCCCTGGGGAATCATCCATCCATCCCTGGGGAATCCTCCATCCATCCCTGGGCATCCTCCATCCATGGGGAATCCTCCATCCATCCCTGGGGAATCCTCCATCTATCCCTGGGGCATCCTCCATCCATCCCTGGGGCATCCTCCATCCCTGGGGAATCCTCCATCCATCCCTGGGAATCCTCCATCCATCCCTGGGGAATCCTCTATC